TAAACCTTCGTTAAATAAAGCTTTCATTATTATTATTATTATAAGTTGAGACAGGTAACTTTATCCATTGTCTGCAATGATGAATTAATAAATAAATAATAACAATATTTTGTTTAATGAATAAATAATCATTTTGAAATATTAGAAATCTTTCATGAATCAAAACTTGAAAAATGGAACATATCTTCAATGCTACTAAGTCCTTGTATTAGGCTAGTATTGTTATCGCTAATCGCCACCGCATTTAAAATAAAAGGCACAGCTGAATGAGGTTGAACTGAAAGCATGTGAAGGTGCATCTTTTAGCTGCTATACAGCTAGTCCTGAGGAATGACCCCAGAGCACAGCTCTTACCAGTTTGAATTAGTAAGGTCTAGTTGTTAGGGTATGCAGCTCTTTCAAAAACGTTTGAAGGGGTGAATGGCAATAAATAATAGGTGATATGCGATAAGTGATATAGGAGATAGTTTATTCCAAGATACAAGAATAGCCTAAATGACTTGTATTTCTTATCATTCTTGTCAATAACACAGATGTTGTTGTTGAGATATTTAGTGTTCATGTAGTCAATGGAACTATTTAAAGCACCTCGATTATTCGTGTTTAGATGCATGCCCACTGAGTGCCTTTCGGTTGTGCAATTGTGATTTTCTGTTTGTCCATTCAAGGTGTTTTTGAAATAGCTGTATTATGAGGGGAGGAATGAAAACCTGGAGGACCAGAAAAAAACCCAGAGTCAGAAATAGAACTAAAAGCCAACCAACCAACTCAGCTCACATACAGAGACTGGGATTCAAACCCTTGACCTCACRGGTGAGAGGCCAGTATTTAACCTCCATGCAATCCTGACTTGCTTTTATGACTCAACTGCAACTGCAGGGAGGTAGGAGCGTTATTTTTAACAGGGGGCTACAATTCAGATTGTATATAAGTGTCATATAAAACGTGCAAGGAGATGTGCAAGTTTACTGTAGAAAAGGTGCAGTCTGTAGCCCCCTAGCACCCTGTCTCCGACCTGAACTGAACTGGTTCAGAAATTATAGGCTTATTCATGAGAATTTGCATATTATGATCATAACTGACAGCAGAGTTTAAAGCAGCAGTTAGCCAAAAATATTAATCCAAGTGTTAATATTGTATTAATGTGAATCACATTTTTATCTTCCTTTTTCGCAATGTTTTCAGAAATCATATGATATTAAATGTGATAATATTACCCCAATCTAATATTGTTTTATTAGTTGAACCTCATTGTCTTAGTTCTGTGTTCATTTTTAATGTAATATATAAGAATTTTCCCAAGTTCTCCACTCTAAAATAAAAAGCTTTTAATATAATACATAGATTGCCACAACAGGAGTTTGTCTAATGTCTAATTTAATATTGGTCAAGCAAAAGATAAAGGGTTTTATTGTCTGCCACCGCTGTTTGCAGCCCACTCCGCCCCCACATTCATAACATTGAAGGTCTTGATTAAACTTGACAAACATTAAGGTTCAGATTTTCTATTAATGGCAAGTCAAAACTTCTTTTGGGAAAAATAGATTTTTGACCTCGAAGCGCCGGTTGTCTTAATTCATATCGACCTATTGAGTGTCAAAAAAGCAATAACACTAAGTATGGGGCACCCCACCGAACAAAAGATGTTTTTAATTACCCTGTTCTCAAGTTCTCTTCTTTCAAAACACTAATCTGGAACTGAAATGATGTTGTCACGATCATCCACCAATCAGATCCTGCTTTGTTTATTACTAATTGTGTGGTTTGTTTTGCTTAGCGAGGACAGGTCGCCGTTCCTTCAAGAGCTAGCATCTCAACATCGAGCAAGTCGTTTAAAATGGTAGGCCTGATTTTATAACCTTTACTTTAGAATGCTTTGATTCGAACTAACGATAGCTGTACTGTTATATATCATTACAGTATGGATTTGTGAATCACGCTTTAGAGCTTCTTGTAGTTCGGAATTTCGGAGAAGACAAATGGAAGGAAATCAAGTGAGTATTCCGAAATATTCCTTACATGTCTGATCTTTTTAAGCATATTAAATAGCACATTTTCCCTGTTAAAGGCGCAAAGCAGAACTGAATATCGAGGGTCACTTTTTACTGAGGATTGTCTATGAAGATGAGCTGACCTATGGATTGGTAGGTGCTGCCAGTGAGATTTTAGGTAAGCAGTCTGTATTCGACTTGTCGGGAGAGATTTCACTGGTATAACTTCTATTCGGACATTTTATCCCGTTTTCATAGTTACGATATTTGTTGATACTCCAAGACACTTTTATATAACGGTAACTATATCGCTTTAAATCGGTTAATATATATCTCTGCCTAATCAGTTAGCTCGATAAAAATTCCCAAGTACCTAAGAGCAATATAAAACCCTTCGATGGACGTAAGTCTTTATCAGTTTATAATTAATTGCTGCCAAATTTGTCACTCTCCTTAGGGATAGAGCCAAGTGCGATTTTAGAGAAGTTTGGAGAGATGTTTTTCGATTTTTGCCAAGAATCTGGATACGATCGAATTCTACAAGTCCTTGGAGGAACGCTTCGTGATTTCATTTGCAACTTGGATGCTCTTCATGACCACCTGGCTGCCATCTATCCAGGAATGAGAGCGCCTTCGTTTCGCGTTTCTGATCGTGAATCTGATGGCGCTCTTATCTTACACTACTATTCTGAAAGGGATGGACTCGAGCCCATTGTTGTCGGTATCGTTAAAACCGTTGCTCGTAAGCTTTTGGATACGGAAATAAGCGTCGAGATATTTAAGCGAAAGGAACACGATGGGGATCATGTACAGTTCGTTATCAAAGAGATTGACCAACGCGGCAGTCAATGCCCATTGCAAGTGAAGCCGTTTGACCCTATAAGGGATTCCTTCCATTTATCTAATGAACCCAAAATATCGCCAGCCACGTTTTGTAACTCGTTCCCGTTTCATTTAATGTTTGATAGAGATCTTAGAATTACTCAAGCGGGATCATCTGTCATCCGCATTGTTGTTGGATTAAACGCCGACAATGAAGCAAATATGACTGAAATTTTTGAACTTTTTCGACCGCAGATGGCCTTTAATTTTGACACTATCTTAGCTCATATCAACACTGTGTTTGTACTAAAAACACGCGAGGGCAAAATCATTCCTCCTGAGGATAGTAAACTTGAGCAAGGAGAAATGAAGACTTGCAGCGTTTGTGGTGATGCATTGTCACTGCGTCTGAAAGGGCAAATGATTTACATAGCAGAATCTGAGAGCATGCTTTTCTTATGCTCTCCAAGCGTAGGGGATTTAGATGACTTGAGAGATCTAGGACTGTACTTGAGTGACATCCCTTTACATGATGCCACTAAAGACTTGATACTTCTATCAGAGCAGTTCAAAGCTGAATATGTTCTAACCCAACAACTGGAGATTTTGACTGACAAACTGCAGCAAACCCACAAGGCACTGGAAGAAAAGAAGCAACTAACAGATCAATTGCTTTACTCTGTTCTTCCCCCTTCTGTGGCAAATGAGCTACGACACAAGAGGCCTGTAAATGCAGAGAAGGTGGAGATGGTCACGCTACTTTTTAGTGGCATAGTTGACTTTGCAACAGTTTGCAAAAACTCGGAGCCCATGGAAATCGTATTGCTTCTTAGTAATATTTACTCTAATTTTGACAGGCTAACTGATCCAGAAATAAATGATGTATATAAGGTAATGAATTATCTTTACTTTTATGTAGTAAATATATTAAAGAGAATATAAATTGTACATTGAAGTACAATTTTTTCCATATTCAAACAAAATGACAGCTGCTATGAATATCTGGATTTTATATGCAAATTTTAATGTTACCTGAAAATTAGTGTCATGAAAAAATCCCAGAAATATTAACTGAAGAAATGAAAGATTTTGCAAGACTTGAACCAATGACTTTAAAACCATCAGAAAAATGAAAGCTCAAGTTAAATTAATTGGTTTTGTTGTATTTGTTCAATTGAGGTGGAGACAGTGGGAGACAAGTATATGGCAGTAAGTGGCCTTCCAGAAAAATGCAACTGGCATGCTCGTAGCGTTTGTAACATGGCATTGGATATGCTGTTTGTTGTCCAAGATATGAAGCACAAAGGAGAGAAACTTGAGGTGAGTGGGGAAAAACCCTTTCATTTAATAGGTATGTGCTTATAATTATAACAAGAATATCTATCAGGATCCCTGCTGGGCCAGGGTAGGATGCAGGGAATTTTTGTAATTGTAAAAATTAGGCATGTTGTGACAATAATCTTGAGGCTCCCCTTCCCAGATGTTGAAAATAGCCCCCCCCCCCCCCCCCCCCCCCCCCTTTCTATGAAACTTTTCTTATGCATCATATTTTTTGCATGATTTTAAAGAGGGCGGTTAAGAATTATTGTGGACATTTCCAATTTTCAACTGCCTCCCCCCCCCCCCCCCCCCCCCCTCATCACTT